ATTTATAAAAGAAAAGCTTTGAATCGAAAACAGGAATAAAAATTTACCGGTAACAAGAAGTACGCGACACTTTCTGTTTATAAGCGATTTACTCAAACAGTTTTTCATTTTCATTAAACGGTTTTTGATAGCAAACAATTTTTTTAATAAACGACAAGAGAAAACAGAGTTTTCTGTCTTTGGCCGCCAGATTTAACCGATTAGTTAATCCCGCTTTAGGTTTTAAATCCTTCCTTTAAACTAGCATATGAGTTACTGTATTGAGTTTATTTGTCGGTTAGCTTGCAAAAGAGCCGTAAGTTTCAATTTGTAAACTAAATTCCTATGCTGGTCAAAAAAGTTTGGTAAAAAGACTAGATATTAGTTTGTTTACATGCGTGGAGGTTACTTGTCAAACACGGATTATAAAGACAATAGAGGCGGTTTTTGTCAGTCTCACACTTCGTTCGAGGGTAACGCTTCGCAGCTTCCCGCTCCCCGCTTTGCTCGGATGCATTCACCAATCAGAACTTGAGGAATTCTATTATCATTCAAATTTATGCCCACCCATTGAAATGTACGTGAGAATCTGAACTGTAAGTGCATGTCCCTAAAACAATAGGCATTCTGTGCCATGGTTAGAGAACCAACACACCACGAATCTGGATAAATTCCAGATTGCAAAATCAAATTAAAAAGTTTATTATAAACCGKAAGCATAACGTGAAAGCTATGTCGAATCATTTCGTTTCGTATTTTATCAGATACAGCAGCTTTGTTGTKTTTAAGTAATTTAATAGCAGATTCGATTTCTGAATTTTGAATGGGACAATTAAGATCTTGGTTGATTGCCTGATCATTCTCTTGCTCCATTTGTTGCAAAGACTCGACTAAAGAATCCTGTAATGAAGAATTTTGCTTCCTAGAATGGAGCGAAGTGAAATGATTTATCCATTGCTGTTCGGTAATTGGAGGAATGTTTTCTTCTTTATACTCCTCATTCGCAGAATTTAAAATTTTCCAAAATTCGTCATTATCAGAGTTATTAGGAGAGGAGAGGAGAGGAGAGGAGAGGAGATCAGATCAGATCAGATCAGATCAGATCAGATCAGATCAGATCAGATCAAATCAAAGGACATGACATGCCAGGACATGACTGAAGACAACTAAATCACCTCATTCTATAAACAAAATTTTATTCCCGTACTTATGAATAGATGTAAAAATATTATTATACAACTTTAATATTTATAACGCGCATGTTTAATTTATTTACTATACTCACGCGCGCACTGCGTGTATTGAGCCAAATCTTAACTAAGAAATTCCTTAGTATTGTTACAAACTTTTTTACATGGTGCTTAAGTTTCCTTCTAATTCACATGTTGTATTCAACCCACCCACGCAGTTCCAAAGTAATCGCTA